GCCTCTGCAGAAGAAGATCAACGCCTGCTTCTACATCACTGCCTGTTTAGCTCCACCCACCGATTCTACAGCACTACCTGTTTAGCTCCGCCCACCGATTCTACATCACTGCCTGTTTAGCTCCACCCACCAATTTTACAGCACTGCCTGTTTAGCTCCGCCCACCGATTAACGCATATAGTGTAAATAAAGAGAGCAACAAATGCAGGTCTACACAGAAACCAAATGATAAAGATGCTCCAAAGACGCTGTTCAGAGCCAAGCTGTGGAAAAACACAGTCTTTGCATCGCCGTCATTCTGATCCCAACATTAGGAAAGAGTGGATGAACTTTATTTTTAATGAAGATCCAGATCGCGTCAGTAAGAACTTGGTCCTTTGAGAGAAAAAGTACAAAAAAAAACAACAAAAAAAAGGCAGTTCATGACACCTTTAAACTAAAGGCAAAAATGATTTAAACTTACAAATATACTTAGCTATTTAAATAATATTTTTCACATTTGATTTTTGTTGCATTACAGTAATGAGAATGTTATATATAATATTATAAATTCAATTATTATAAAATTATAATATAATTTGTGTAATTTTGTAGTAATGAATGTGATTAATTTTAAATTTTAATTAAGATATAAGATATAATATATATAATTGTTATTGCATTACAGTAATGAGAATATTTGTAATCTGTAGTAATGAATGTGCTTAATTTTCATTAAAAAAAATCACAAATTGCAATATATATATATATATATATACATATATGTATATAATATTATAATATAAAATTATTATTATAATTGCATTACATTACTGAGATTTTGTGTAGTTTGTAGTAATGAATGTGCTTAATTTATATATACACACACACATTTGTTTTCTTTTAATGTTGTGTGAAATATTTTCTGATCATTTCTTGACTGTTTTCCTGAGATTTACCAATAATCCATAAACTACAAAACTGTGCTGTAATGAAGTTACTCAGTCTAGTTCACTTGGCCTTACCTACTTTTCATTTAGTTTTACTGTATATCTCATATGCTAATCCATAAGTATGCAGTCAGTACAGATGAGCATGTAAAGGGCCGGCCTATTTAAACATCATTAGTGTGATGGAGTGTTTTCATTTGACCTTGCAGAGGCTGTTCAACTCAATAGCAGCATCATTATTATGGCCAGAATCATCTGAAAAATTATGCGTATTATCATCATTTTACAGTGACATGCTTAGGTAAACAACCACTTTATAAGAGACTGGTATATTTTAAGACAGATAGCCGAGCGCAGAGCCTATTTTACATCACCTGCATAATAATGAAAACGCCAACCAAACCACAACAAAAAACGTGCCGCTTCTGTAGCGCTGCTCAAACACACTGCATTATGGTTCGGTCAAGCATGTTTAAGAGGGCAGATCAATTGAAATGGCATTGTGTGACTGCCGGTTTCGACCCGATCACTACAACAGCTTTTCCGTCAATAGCATGATGAAGCTTATGTGTGTAATGAAGTCATCAGGAACTCTGGGTCAACAAGCTCCTTCCTCAAAAGCTCTGAAGTGGCTTTTAAACAGATCTTGGCTTTTGAGACAAATTTGTGCATCTCTACTGCTAGAAGCTGCATAATGATTCTGATTGCCCTTGCAATTTATGCAATTACTTTCCAGTTTTTATGCAACATGCAATTAATGGATGCTCAATGTATAATGCAATGTTGTCCTTGTTAACTAAAACTAAAACTATTAAAATAGTTTTTGTTCATTGACATAGCCTAAAATGTAAATAAAAAGCAGAAAAAAATACAATAAATACTAAAATGACACACTTGCAAATGTACTTTGCTATTTAAATAATATTTACATTTTTGCATTATAGTAATGATAATTTGGTGGGTAAATATAAATGTCATGAAAATAATGCAATCACAATCAGATTCTGGACTGGAGTTGCAATTGGTGAAAAAGCTTTTCAGGTTTTGTGGAATATGCAATAAATAATAAATATATATCTGAAATGTTGCTTTGGCAATTAACTTAATTTGAAGTACTAAAATTAATAAAATAATAGAAAAATATAATAAAAAATTATAAAATAAAAATGAGAGCATGGTTTTTGTCCATTTGAAACTAATTTAAATTCAAATAAAATACAAATGCGAATATTAGATGCAAAACCTAAACTTATAAATAATAAAATTACTCGCATTAAAACTGAAAATTAAAGCTAAACAGAAATATAAAAATAAAAATCACAAAAGCGCATTGCTTTTGCTCATTGAAATTAAGCTGAAAAATAAAATATAATGAAATATAAAATGTAATAAAAATATAAAATATACACATTATATTAAATAGTGGTTCAACGGATCACAAATCTCACGGTTCGGTCCGTACGGATCACAGATCAACTACGATCCGTTTAACCACTAATAATAAATAAGTTGTACTAGTAGTAAAATAAAAATTAAGCTAAATCGAAATATTAAAAAAAAATGATAAAAATGATCAAATTACTCAAACATAAACTAAAATTGAAATGAAAACTTAAAATATAAAAAATAAAATCTAATTCAAAATATTATACAATATAAATTGCAGAAAAATAGAACACAATACAGACAGGTGTTCGGCAGTGCAGGACGAGAGCAGCACCTGTGCACACGCTGTTTTGAATGCCACGGCCGAAACACAATGACATTCAGACTGACCGCAGGGTAAACAGCACTCATTGGGCCTGTGATGACTCAACGAGGACGAGAGCGGGACCAAACACGCCTGCGCTGAGTGCGCTCCACCCAGCTGTGGTTTCACCCATTTACACACCCAACCTCTGCCTACCTCCACATCCACATCAGCAGGCAGAAACCCAAACATCAAACGCCTCTCTGTTTCAATAAAATGTTTCCTCACTCGAAGTAATGATAATAATAGAGTCATTTGTTTGTGAACTGGACTACACTGTTCGTGCTGCATGTGTTTGGTTTACTAAAAAGAGCTGATTCAAAAGAGTCATTTGTTTGTGAATTGGACTACATTGGTTGTGCCGCATGTTCTTGATTCACTAAAAAGAGCAGATTCAAAAGAGTCATTTGTTTGTGAATTGGACTACATTGGTTGTGCCGCATGTTCTTGATTCACTAAAAAGAGCAGATTCAAAAGAGTCATTTGTTTGTGAATTGGACTACATTGGTTGTGCCACATGTTCTTGATTCACTAAAAAGAACCAATTTAAAAGAGTCATTTGTTTGTGAATTGGACTACACTGTCTGCGCTGCGTGTTTTTGATTCACTAAAAAATTATTTATAAGAATAATTTGTTTCGTGAATTGGACCACACTTGTTTTGTTTTATGTTTCTGATTCACTATAAAGAACTGATTTAAAAGAGTCATTTGTTCAGTAATTGGACTTCACTGGTTGTGCTGTATGTTCTTGATTCACTAAAAAAATCTGATTTAAAAGAGTAATTTGTTTGTGAACTGCTGTCTGTATCTGATTCACTAAAAGGAGCTGATTTAAAACGTAAATTAGACTACACTGGTTTGCATGTATGTTTCTGACTCACTAAAAAGGAACCAATTTAGAAGAGTCATTTATTCATGAATTGAACTACACTCTGTATGTTACTGCGTGCATCTCGCGTTCAATGGAAGTGTTTTCTTGGCATCTTTTAGGATAAACACCTTTTTTATCTTATCAAATTCAACTCTAAATCTAATTTGGACTGCAAAAATTTGACTGCATAACTGCAGATTCAAAAGCAGATGTGGATAAATAAACAATGGCAAATTAAGATTGATCTTGGGATTTCAAGAATCAAGATTGAAGATTGTGATTCATCTGAAAAATCAATTTGCATGAACACAAACTCTTCTGCATTACATGCGTCTGGAAACATACACCACACATGTACATGAACTCTGATGTTTCTAGCTATGCAAGTTTGATTTAGTGAATTTTGCACTCTAAAATGTGCAATTCATTAAGAAACATTGCATTCTCAAGATGTGCTATTGCAGTTAGCGCAAAATGTCTTCTAATACAGTCAGCGGTTTTTTCAGAACAACTACTGTCATGGTGGAGCAACAGTTTGGCACATTAAGTTAGTTAAGCTGTTGACATATTTATATATAGCTACTTGGCATATTTGGTTTGGACACTAAGTATGAACAAAAGGACCAGCAATGCACTGGTCAAGAATTCATATATGTGCATTGTGCAAAGCATGTTTCCACCCTAAAGGTGCTTCAACAATTCGTTAACTTCCAAATGCCAACTTTTTCAACACCACTGGTTTTTGGGTTTTTTGTTTCATTCATTTTTCACACAGGAATTTAAAAAAAGTCTTTGTTAAAGAGTTATAAACCATGAACCAAACCAACCGGCTACGAGGAGAATTGCAACATACGAACTTTGATTTGACACAAAAAACTATTTGAAAATCGGACAAAAATATAAAGGTACCAGAATGTGTACTAAACTCCTTAATGAGGGAAAGAACTACAATTCCATTAAGCAATGAAAAACAATGGCGAAATATAAAATGATTGATTATGCATATAGAAACATATTTTACGTTTATTGCAAAATATGCACATATTTAAGTAGTTTGAGAGCGTACGGAGATTTACTAGGTTACGTCATTTGCAGTGCTTCACAGGAGTGGGCGGAGCTCATTTGGCACAAGTTGCTTTATCGCGATTCTCTGATTGGTGGATTTTTTATTTTTTTTTGCAGAATCATGGGTAATGTAGTTTTTTTTTGCCAGGAATTCTGCCTTGGCGAAACATGCTCTCTTCTCCAAAGCCCGCCCTCTAAGGACATGTGAGCCAATCAGACGACAATAAATTGCATTAGTGCCCGCCCACTTTTTTGCACTGTAGGTTCCGCAAGTTTTTTATGTTTATTGCAATATATGCATATATATACAAATATTTAAGTAGTTTGAGAGCATATGGGAGTGCTTTATGGGAGTGGGCGGAGCTCATTTTGTGCAATTTGCTTGTCGCGATTCTCTGATTGGTGGAGATGTCTTTGCAGAATCATGGGAAATGTAGTTTTTCGCCAGGAAATCTGCTGTTAAACATTTCTTTTAAAATTAAGTTGAAATAATGCAGGCTGATGTCTTCAACTAACGCATAAACCATCGATTAACAACCTCGTAGCTCACAGTAGATCTGTTTTTTAAGGATTATCATTAAAAATCAACTCCTCTATGTGGAAATGAATGTGATTTTTACTTCTGGAACCTTTTGCAATCTGTAAACTTGAAGATGCAAAATGATAGACAAGACATGCGTTGAGCGTTTCTGATTGGTACTAAAAATAATTGCTTACAAAACCTGAATTCTCACAGGGATGGGTGATTTTTCATATATATATATATATATATATATGATAGCGTCCACGCAGAGGATCCCTGGCCATCCCTGTACTTCTGTTTCATGGCCAATGCTTTGTTTGATAAACACAGGGTGGTTTCCAATAAAAATGACACTTCGCATTCCCACATGGATCACTGACTTCCTCAACTCTAACCATGAATAATGAAATACCACAAGACTCGCAGGTAAAGACGACGCCGGATAACGCATCGCGCCTCGCGTGCCGCAGGTGTCCGCATCCCCGTCATGACATTTTGCTTAAAATAGGATGCTGCGCGCGCCTCGGGGGATGCGTTCGCTAGGTGCGTGTCCGTGTCTTTACGGAGGAATGACAGAAAATCAACAATGAGCCGGTGCGGGGATCAGCTCGAGCTCTCGAGCACCGGCTTATGGGTGTGGAGGGTGTCATGCACGAGCCGGGCTCAAACTAAAGGGATCCACATAGCTACATAAATACACACATCATGCTGCAAATGAAGCCGCCGATGTTCACATAACCGGGTGAGCGTCGTTAAGCACGCAGACTCGCGCCCGATGCCAAATCACCGCATTTCGTTTTCACACGCGAGCCTGCAATGGTGATGCGGATGCGCGCGCGTCGCGTCATGTTTACCTCTCAGCCATGGTGCCTCTCGTTCCCGCTTCAACACGCAGCGAAAGTAATCCACAGGACGCCAGACATGATGATAGAGGCTCCGCCGCCGCCGCAGTCAACGCGAGTGAACGAGGGTCTGGAGCACGCGCTGTCCGCCCGCGTCTCCGTCACCACCGACAACCTGACGTCATTTTGCGCTTCTAGCACGCAGGCGAGCGCGCGGGGAGGCTGAACAGAGCAGGTTACCATGGCAACCCGAGCACGCCATCTCTCTCTCTCTCTCTCTATCTCTATCTCTCTCTCTCGGAACACAAAGACAGACACTAATGAATTCATTATCTGCTCATAATTATGGCAGCGGATATTATAGATTTATGATTCCTGCATATGGATGAACTGAAGGAGCCAAATCTATCTATCTCTCTCTCTCTCTATCTATCATCTATCTATCTATCTATCTATCTATCTATCTATCTTAAACAACACTCATACATGTCTAAATGGCATTGCATTAGAAAAATTATTAAAGCAAGTAGCATTTTAATGCAATATCAATATATTATAATTATTTTAAATATTAATTCAAGTGGCATTGTTTTAAAGAAAGATAGCAAACCAGTAAAAAAAGTGTAACCCACATTAAAATATGGTTTAAATGAGTATACATAAATACATAACTGCAATAATTCATGATATTTTAAAATAAACGATAATAAATAATATTTCGTATAGTTCATAAATAGGTTAAAAAGCATACATTTAATTAGGAGTTTGTAGGGAAATTACAAAAATAAAAAATGGTAAAGCAACAAATACAGTGTTCAAAAAGTCTAATAAAATTAATAACTTTCCAGTATTAATTGCATTATGATCTTTTAACAATTCACATCCATCCTTTAAACTTTTTCCACTAATGCATTTTTAATTAAATATTGATTTTTCCGTTTAATTAATGTCTTTCTTTTTTATTTGTTTATTACGCCAATGTAAATCACATTCCCATCGTGCATGAATTAATCTCGCCTTGCGTATTTAAATACAATACAGCGCCATCTAGTGTTCACTTCAAGCACAACCAAATGCGCCACTGCTGCTTATGATCATGTGACTTCCTTTCTAACAAAATATACATTTTACAGTGTTTAACAGAGCTCAAAATCGAAATACACCAATAAAACCCTAACAATGACATGTTTTACTCTGTGTACGCTGTAGAATCACGGCGGTTTTGATCTCAGTAAAGCGGAACTGATGCGCCTGGCGTTTGGTTTCCTCCGGATCGCTACAAAATATAAACATTGCTGGATCCGAGCAGGTTTGCAGTAAATGAAGCCGCTATGAGGTTTGCTAACAGGCTGTTCAGCAGTGAATGGAGGAGGTTTTTGAGCAGGGATGTGTCCTCATACACACAAGGACAGAGTCCAGAGGCGAGGATCAGAGAGTATTTCTACTATATCGACCATCAAGGACAGGTACACCACTGAGAAGATGGCTATAATGTTGTTTACTTTGTGTCATTCCCATATTCATGATTTATTTCTCTCTTGTCAAGCTGTTTCTGGATGACACCAAGGTGAAGAACTTTGTCACCTGTTTCAAAGGTATTTCTGGGGTTTTGAAACACCTGCACACATGCATAATGCACATATCCAATACTATGTTGTGTAATGTTTTTATGGAATATGCATACGTCATGTGGTCTCTATTACATTAATATAAACCTCTTTAGTTCTTACACAGAGTACAGTATGCTTGCCATATTCATAACCCATGGCAAGGTTTCAAAAATGGGGGATTGTGAGATGAAACGCTAATAATTAAAAATAAAATAAATAAAAACAATTCATTTATAATAAAAAAATTTTTTTTTAAATAAATAAATGATTTGAAAGCTGTTTCTGGATGACACCAAGGTGAAGAACTTTGTCACCTGTTTCAAAGGTATTTCTGGGGTTTTGAAACACCTGCACACATGCATAATGCACATATCCAATACTATGTTGTGTAATGTTTTTATGGAATATGCATACGTCATGTGGTCTCTATTACATTAATATAAACCTCTTTAGTTCTTACACAGAGTACAGTATGCTTGCCATATTCATAACCCATGGCAAGGTTTCAAAAATGGGGGATTGTGAGATGAAACGCTAATAATTAAAAATAAAATAAATAAAAACAATTCATTTATAATAAAAAAAATTTTTTTTAAATAAATGATTTGAAATTTATTCTAAATAAAAATGAAAACACTTGCATGATTGTTAACAGATGTTTACAGCATTTCTCCAGTAATTCGCCAAAATAAAAGCGCAGGAATTTGAATGTTTGAAAATAATTCATGACATAAATATTGTTTATATAAATACACACACATACCTGTGTATATTTACGAAATATATGTCATATATATTTATATTTCTACATAATATAAATCATATAGAAATATGAATGTATGTAAATATTTCTTAAATATATACATGTGTGTGTATTTATATATATACACGATTAATTTATTTGACAGCCCTAATTATAAATTGCGTTGTAAAGAATTTTTTTATCATTATTATATTAACAAATATTATATTTTTGTATCAGTACAATCGTTATTTGCAACTAATATTCCTGCGTTGATTTTTTTTTATAGAGTTAAAACTAATAATGCTAATAATGGAATTATTAGTATTATTAATAATATGAGAACTGTAAATATGCAAATGTGTTGTTAAATTATTGAAGTATTAACTTAAAACCTTAGGGAGACTTTAAGTCAGTTATATTTTAATATCTCTGGTATTGTACTACTATAGTTTTATTATAATTTTAAATACGTTTTTTATTTTTAGATTTTTCATTTTAATTGTAGTCAATAGTTTTTAATTAGTTTCTATTTAAGTTCTAAATTACGACTTTATTGAATTAATACTGATTTTATTTCAGTTAATGTTTATTTTATTTAAAGTAATGAAAGTGATTTTTTAATGATTTTAATTTTAGTTTAAATTTTAGGTTTAGTTAACTGTAATAACCCTGCTTCATATGTTACACCCAAAAGGTTCGGCTGATCAAAAAAAAAAAAAAGTTTAGGAACCCCCATTATTAACACAATGTATGAAATGCACTAAAATGTGGATTTTTCCCATACATTTTCTCACTAGGCATTGCAAAAAAAACGAAACCAAACAGCTCTGAGATGAAATTAATGGTATTTTATAACTCCAAAAACTCAAAAGCCTCTTGCTTTCTCTCTCTATTAGACCAGCACTTCTTAGTGTTCTTCTTCAACCGTCTGAAGGTCAACCAGAGCGGCCGATATGACCAGGACTTCCCCTTCCTCTCGCTCTGCGGACGCGAGCGCAATTTCCTGCGCTGTGAAGACCGGCCCGTTGTGTTCACGCACCTGTTATTGGAGGCGGGGCATGAGGAGTGTCTGTCATACTGTGGAGGCGGAGCCAAACTCACCGTTCCGTTCCGCCCAGAATCTCTCTTCATGCACCCGGTCAGCGGTAGAGTGTACCATCCCGGACCTGAGCGGGGGGGAGGCGTGGGGTTGGTGCGGTCAGCGCTGGCCATTGAGCTGAGCACTCACTTTGAGTACGCCACGGGTCAGGAGAGCACGGGACAGCCCACTCATTTCATATGGGCGGGGCATCCACGCACTCTAACCAATGAGCTGGCCAAACAATTTCCTGTTCAAACAGATGAATGTGTGAAGCTGCAATGATTCACTCAACCTACTAATGCATTGTGATTATTAAAATCCTGCTGAAATTAATGTATATTTATGTATAATGTATATTCTAAACATACTGCTGAAATAAATGTGTATATTGGGTCTTATGGCTGATTATGGATATGATTTCTTTAAAAAAAATAATATACTCACCCTGGTTTCTTCCATAATCCATATTACTTCTGTAGAGAATAAACTTGATGTTTAGCAGAATGTCCACTCTCTTCAAATAATAAGTATAATAAGTAATAAAAACAAAATCAACACAGAAACACCACTAAACTATTAAGATTTTCAATCAAACACACACAAGCTCCTATAGCGCAGGTGTGTTTTATTGTAGTGGATGGAGAAGGAAAAGCCTCATGAATTGTCAAACAGACATATTCCTCCTTTAATAGTGCTTAAAAATAATCCCGGGATGCATTTAGACAAAATAATAATAATAAATAAATAAAGGAGTTTTCATTTGCGTCACACGAGCGTTTGAATGTGTGTTATTTTATTGTTTTGATGGCTTTACTTTTATTATAAAACAGGGTTTCCAAAACTAGACTGTAAAAAGATGCTGCCTTAAATTTTTAAGTACAATCAACTGTTTAAGTCATTTCAACTTAAATTACATTAAACTGGCTTTAAAAAATGAGTCGAACCGTGTACAACTTATAAAATAAAGTTGAAAATTGCTTATTTTGATGAGTTAATGTAATGTTAAAACACATGTTATCACAACTTATTGGTCATATCATGTCATATCAAGAAATTACAGTTCTTGAGGAAACTGCAGGAGGTTTAATGAAAAGCTTATAATTAATTAAATCATAAAAAATCTAAATCTAAATAAAACCCTTACTTTAAAAAGATGATTATTTGTTTACCTGCATGTCACGTGACCATTAATCGACAGAACGTGAATATGTAAATGTTTTGTCAAATTATTGAAATATTTACTTAAACTCTCAGGGGTCTTCAAGTAAATATTTTAGGTGATGGAAAAAAAACGAGATTATTTCATATATTATATTTTGGGGAAAATTAGCAAAAATTATGTTTCCATGTGATGGGAAAAAACGAGATTATTTTATATATTATATTTTGGGAAAAACGAGCAAAAAACTATATTTCAATGTTTTTGCGTTCCCTCGAGAAATTTTGCCTCCGCTTGCAATACTTTTGTGATGGAAATATGGGAAGAAAAAACTATATTTCAATGCTTTTGCGAGTGAAGTATCTGTGGAACGCAACATTTTGCGAAAGAACGAAAACTCTGTAGTTTTTGTGAATTGTGAGTGAATGCAAAGTTTCTCGGTGGAACGCAATACATTTGCCAGACTCAGAGAACACAAGGTTTTGCGGGCGATGCTTTCTTGGGTAAATGCGAGAGAACGCAAACACATTGAAACCCAAATAATAGGCCTACACGCACGTCTGCAAGATGTCTGTTAAAGATCGCTTCATCTGGAAAGCATCTGCTCTGTACAAACATCTGATAGACGTCTTTAAGATGTCAGTTTTACATGCATTCTAAATCATAAACATCTTAAAGACATCTTCTAAACGTCTACTTGACATCTGATAGGAAACGTCCTATAGACGGATCAGGGGCGTAGATTACGCGGGGGACGCGGGGGACG